CGTTCATTCCCTTAGTCGTTTCCTTGTGCGCACACTACTTGCTAGTTCACGAGGAAGAATTGCAAGAGTTTCACTAGGAAAACATAACCGTATTAGTTCATAATAGGGTTGGCAAGACAAGACTACATCAGAGCTAGCATGCAAGCAGGTCGACTGCCAGCGCAGCACGGTCGACCGCGTTTCATCACTGCTTGGTCGACCGCGCTCCAGTAGTGCAAAGTTGACGGCGTTCCAACATTGCAGGTCGACGGCGTCCAGCATTGCGCCTCCATGACAGCAGCGCACCTACTTCGCAGGTGCTCGCAGATGATTGGCATGCCATGCCTTGTCAATTGCACAACGCACACACCAAATCAACCTCGTTCTGACGAATGCATCTCATCAGCCACGTCAACCTCGTGTTAGAAATTAAGTATCGAGTTCACGATGATTAGGAGCCGAAATTACAACAAAATCGTTGGGCCTAATTTCTGGACAGAAACAGCGACTTTACAAGAAACGTCGTCGCCAAAAACGGTCATCGGTAAAATCTCACAAAAACCAAGTATGTTGTAGGCCTCAACCGTGGCTACAATTCCCAAGTTGAATCACGTCAAATGGTGAATTAAATCTTGAGTTATCCGTTTCGGCGCACAGGGGGGTAAGCTGCCATAAAATCTTAACCCAATCACAATAGTTTCACAAATTCCAAAAGTTGCACACAAGGGGATTAGAGTAGCTGAAAATCAGGTAGGAGGGAAGAGGAGGACGAGAGGGAAGGTCCCAAGGGAGTCCCCAACCAAGGAAACCCCATACCACACAATTTCCTTTCCCATAGGCAACCCAACATTCACCCTTGTCTTTTTCCCAACCTCCACATTCCACCTCACCCCACTTGGCCACACTTGCCAACCTGGTTTGGCTTCACCCAACCACATGGCAGCATCTACAGTAATGGGTTCGAATTTCCCAACCCCCAAAAGTCTATACCCCTTATGGAGCAAACCCCACAACTTCCCATAGTCGCCGCAACCAAAGTACAGAAAGCATACGAACTCCAACGTTCGTAACTTTCTTGTTCTTGCTCCGATCGCGACGATTCTTGGTTCGCCGGAAAGCTCTTGAGCTGAGGAGTCATTTCAGATTTCTGCCCAAGTCAAATAGCTTTCACACACACCCAGAGAATCCAAACCGTGCACAACACAAATTCTTGCACACGCTCACACCACGCACACGAACACATGATGGGAGGCAGACAGACGTGAATGCATATGGTTGCATCACACAACAAACTCCCCCTCTGGCTGCCAACCATCATCCCACATGTCATAGCTCAAGCATGCACTCTCAATGCACACTCATTCCAGCAAGTTTCATGCCCTTCCAATGCTCAGGTTCCGGCAGGCGCTTGGTGAGAATGTCAGCCGCCTGCTGCTGGGTCTTCACAAGCTCCAGTCGCACCTCCTTATCCAGGAGCCTCCTTGTCCAATGCCACTTGGGCCTGATGTGTTTTGTCAGGCCATGGAGACATGCATTCTTCGCAAGCTTCACCGCTGACTCGTTGTCACAGAAAATTACAGTCGGCTCCTTCTGGCACACTCCGATCTCCTCCAACAAACGCCTCAGCCACACCACCTCCTTTGCCCCATGATGAAGGGCCATGTACTCGGTCTCACACGAGGACAGCCCCACCTCGTTCTGCTTCTTGCTGCGCCAGCTCACTGACTGCACCACTCCCAAAGAGGCACACATAGCCTCCAATGCTGGTGCCATCCTCCTTCACAGAGTTGAAGCTGGCGTCGGTGTAGCAAGTCAAGAGCATCTCCCCCTTGCTCAAGTCAGCTGCACCCCTCTATAGCCTCTGTCCCACAGCACTCTACTCCAAACCCACTGATGCTGTAGTGCTCACATAGCGGACCAACCTCTTGGCCGCTTCCAGCTGCTCATGACTGGGACGTGAAACCACACTCGCAAGCCTGGATGTAGCAAAGGCAATGTCAGGCCGCGTGTGGTTAGCCGCATAGTTGAGTGCCCCAACCATTGAATGAAACAGCTTCCTGTCACTCTCTCCCACCACCTCCTCATCAGCACAGGGCTCCACAGTGAACCCCGAAGGCAGTGGGGTGGCTGGCTTCCCTCCATCTTGCAGCCCATACTTCTCGGCCAGCCCCTCACAATACTTCCTCTGGTGCAACCTCAACACTCCCTTGTCAAGGTCTCTCTCCACGTGCATTCATAGGGTAATACTTCACATCTCCCATTTTGGAACACTTGAACTACATCTCCAGCATCTCCTCCACACGCTCAATCATCGCAGACGACACACAGAAGAGCAGGATGTCGTCCACGTACACCAGGAGCATGAGGAACTGCTCCTTCTCTTGCAGGAGGAATAGGCTGTGGTCGAATTCACTCTTCTTGAATCCCCCAGCCAGCAGTGTCTCCTCCAGCTTGTGGTACCATGCGCGAGGAGCCTGCTTCAAGCCATAGATGGCCTTCTTCAGCCTGCACACCCTGCCGCTCCCATCATCCAACCCCTCAGGCTGTAGAATGTACAGCTCCTCCAGGATGATCCCATTGAGGAAGGCGATGGTAAAGTTCATCTGCTTCACCCGCCATCCACGGTATGCAGCCATTGCCAGTGAAACCCGCAGTGTTGTGCATTTCCCCACAGGAGCATAGAGCTCGTTGAAATCCTTTCCCTTTGTCTGCTGGAACCCCTTGGCCACCAGCCTTGACTAGTACCGGGTCAGCTCCCCATCAGGTCCGTACTTGTGCCTGAAAATCAGCTTCGATGAAATTGCCTTCTTCCCAGGAGGCAGCTCACACAGCTCCCATGTGTCATTCTCCAGCAGAGAGTCATACTCCTCCTTCACACTCTGCTTCCACTTCTCAGCATCGGGCCCACTCAAGGCCTCGGTAAGCGTCTTGGGCTCGGGGACGGCTGCCCAGTAGCAGTGCGCTATCTCCTCCTCATCACACTGCTCAGCCACACTCCCAGCCCGCACCACCTTTGGCTTCCCAAAGCTCGGATAGGTCAGCCGGTTGGGAGGGCGCACATCCCTCCTAGGACGGTCAGCCGTACGTGCGGCACCTTGTGGAGCACTTTGCTGCTGCTGCTGCTCCTGCTGCTGCTGCTGCTGCTGGTGCTGTTGCTCCTCCACCTCAGGTTCTTCTCCATCCTCAGTCACTCCAGAGATCTCCTTCTCAGAGACAGAAACCTCCACCTGCCTCAAAGGCCACTGCACCTCATCGGCCTCAATGATCAGCGGTGTCGTAGGAAGCTTCTGTTGCTGCTGCTTCCACTCCTTGTAGTACAGGGACTCGAGGAACTTCACATCCCTCGACACAATCAGCAGCTGCCTGGTCAAGTCCCATATCAACCAGCCCTTGTGATCCTTTGCAAGTCCCAAGTGCACACCCCATCTCCCAGAAGCTTCCAGCTTTCCCCTCTTCTCCTTTGGCACATGAAACACCACCATGCACCCGTAAGCTCTCAGCATGTTCACCGTTGGTGCACTCCCATACCACTTGGTGTAGGGGATCCACTGCTTCTCTCCCACTATCACCAGCACCCTGTTCTGTTATAGTCACAGTAGGCTTCAATGTGCCTAAAACGAAAGATAGAGTGCGCAGTCAGATTTCTACACTGCGGATTTAAACGTTCATAGCGATCTGGTCACAGCTCCAAATGACCTCATTCAACTTGGATCTGGAGCGTCTTAACGTGGCCTACAATAGGCAATTTAGATTGTATGATTTTATCAAGAATTGACGACACAGCGTCAGTTTGAACGAACGGCACTATGGCAGCAACATAATCTGAGAATACACAATTACGAACAACTAGGTAGAGTTAGGAGTTGGGAAGGACTCCCAGCTCCTACAAACCCCAAGAGCCGAGGTACAGTGATGGGGAACAAAGCCACACTGTCCCCAACCAAGAAGGGTCTCGAAACTACCCTTCACAAGGGCCTACACCAACTGAAATGTTACACTACACTTTGTAATGTAACTATCTTCAATATCTTGAGGTGTAGCCTTTTTGGCGAGCTTCGAAAACACTTGAAGCTTGAACCAAGGCTCGGGTTCTTCATCACAAACTCAACCTTGAGTTCTTGATGGGTCTGCTGCACACACATGCGACACGTCGAACGTTCGACAAGCGACAAAATAGAAACCGCGCACGGGACACACGACAAAATAGAAACCGCGCGCGAGACACAAATGACCGCATTGACACGCGGCTAGCGATAAATAGCTATTGACTTGACAAACACATAATCGACATCATGACCCATCATTCACACACCATTATAAGCATGAAATATATATTTATTTTATGCACTCATACCACTCCATGCACACACGCATGCACGCACACGCACACGGACAACAAGCCGAGTGCAAACGGTAAGGTTGCACCAACAAACTCCCCCTCGGGTTGTTGGCCTTAGGATCTGTTGCTCTCAGTTCAGAGCCATCCCAACCAGCTTGCAACACTTCCAATGCTGCTGCTCCACCAGCCTCTTGGTCATCATGTCCGCTGGCTGCCCCGTCGTCTTCACGTAGCGCAATTCAACTTCACCCGCGGCCACCATGCTCCTCGTCCAGTGCCACTTCACCCTCATGTGCTTTGTCAGGCCATGCAACACGGGGTTCTTTGCTATAGCAATGGCTCCCTGGCAGTCGCAGTTGAGAGGGGTAGGTCATGGCTGCTCCTCCCCCAATTCCGCCAACAAACGCCGCTGCCACACAATCTCCCGTACGGCACGGAAGAGTGCCATGTACTCGGACTCCACCGAGCTCAAAGCTTGGTCGATCTGCTTCTTGCTTTCCCAAGCAGTTGGGCCTCCACCAACACAGCAAATGAACCCTCCAACACTTGTCATGTCCTCTGGTTCTGATGCATAGGAGGCATCCGAGAATGCGGTGAGGAACAAACGCCCGGGTTCCACACCATCCGCGCCCTTTTGGCGCCTTTGTGCCGCTGCCGAATATTGCAGCCCAACGGTCGGTGTTTAGCTAAGATACTTGGCCACCCTCATTCCAGCTGCTACCTGCTCCTCATTAGGGCATTGCACAACCCTTGCCAGCTGCCCGGTAGCAAACGCGACATCCGGTCGTGTGTTGACTGCCGCGTACATGAGGCTGCCCACCAACGAGTGAAAACGGCGCCTCTCTTCTTCACCCACGCTCTCCTCCTCTGGTCCCTTCACACACTTGAACCCAGAGGGAAAGGGTGTAGTTACATGGCCTTCATTCTGCCCAAAGTTGGCAGCCAATGCCTCCAGGTACTTCCGTTGGTGCACCCGCATGCACCGCTTCTCCACATCTCGTTCGATGTGGAGCCCACGGTAAAAGTTCACGTCCTAGGGACTTGCACTTGAACTTGTCTTGAAGCTTCAGCATCACCTCCTTCACAAGGTCAGAGGAGGGCGAGAAGATGAGGATGTCATCCACATAGACCACCATGAAGCTCCTCTGCTCCCCCTCGCCAAGCATGAACAAGGAGTGATCGGCCGTTGAGGGAGTGAAGCCGATCTCCTCCAACACTTCGCGCAGCTTCAGGTACCACTGCCTAGGGGCCTGCTTCAGCCCATAGAGGGCCTTCTTCAGCTTCCACACTCTGCCGCTGCCGTCATCAAACCCCTCTGGCTGCGCCATGAAAATCTCCTCCTCGAGGATTCCGTTGAGGAACGCCGTTACGATGTCTAGCTGCTTCACCACCCAACCTTTGATCGCGGCTCCCGCGAGTAGGGTTCGCAGCGTCGTCGGCTTCACCATAGGAGCAAACAGCTCCTTGTAGTCCACATTCTCCTTCTGCTGGTACCCCTTGGCCACCAGCCTAGACTTGTAGCGCTCGATCTTGAAGAGCCACTTGGACGTAATCGCCGTACGCCCCTCCGGTAGCTCCACCAACTCAAATGCGTCATTCTCCTCGATGCTCTTCAGCTCACTCTCCATTGCCTTCTTCCACTCCTCAGCATCATCACTCTCCAAGGCCTCCTTGAGAGTTGCTGGTTCTCCCGGCATCTCCACCGGAGAGAAGAATGCGAAGGCACACTCTTCGTAGTCACTCTCCTCGTCGTCTCCGACCATCATTGCCGCTCCGGCCAGGGCCGTCTTGCCCGGCTCTCCCGGCGCATCATATGTCAGCCTCTTAGGGGGTTGGACTTTCCTCTTCACCCTTCCTTCCTCAGCTGCAGGGACTTGAAGGCCTTGGCGCTGCTGCGGTGTGGTGCGGTTCCGTGGAGCGCTCGTAGTGCGGGAAGGGAGTGTCGGTGCACGCTCGCTCACTTGCTGCACCTCCTCCTCTTCTTCCTCTGCATCATTGGCCTCCTCTTTCCCATTCACAAGGGAAGATTGCCTTGTGGTGGTGCTGCCGCTGCTCAGCTCCAAAGGCAGCTCCACGTGCTCCAGCCGGAACTTTTCACCTCTCCAAACCGCATGCCTATCTTCGCCTCATTCTCCGCCTTCCAATCCTTGTACATGAAGTTCTCCATGAACTTGCAGTCCCTGCTCACCAAGAACTTCTTGGTGAATGGGTCACAGAGAAGCCACCCCTTGCTGTTTTGAGCCATGCCCAAGTGCACGGCCCACACCGCCTTGGCACCAAGCTTGTTGTGCCGTAGATGCTTAGGTACGAGCGCCATGCACATGCACCCGAACACCCGAAGCATATCTTCCTTCCAAGCCACTCCACATAGGGCACCCATTTGTCTGCTCCCACATGAGTCAAAACTCTGTTCTTGGCCACACACGCGCTCCTCATCGCATCAGGCCAGAAATAGTTGGGTAGCCCGGCTTCACTCAGCAACCCACGTGCCGCCTCCGTGATCGTCCGGTTCGCTCGCTCGGCGATGCCGTTCATTGCAGGAGAGTATGGCATGGTGAGGGAGTGTCGAATACCATTCTTCTTCAGCCACAACCCAAACTCCTTGCTCAGGAACTCTCCCCCTCGATCGGTGCGGATCGACTTCACTAGTCGGTCTTGTTGCCGCTCCACCATCGGGAACCAATCGGTCTTCAACGTTTCAGCAACGTCGCTCTTATTGGACAGCAATGCGAGTGTATTCATCCGCTATGGTGAGGAAATACTCAGCTCCAGCAGCTCCAAGCTTCAGGGGGCCCACCACGTCCATCACCACCTCATTTAACGGTGCCTTTGCCGTCGTCTCCGAGCTCGAGAACGGAAACCGGGTGAACTTGGCTTGCAAGCACGTCGGGCAGCCAAGCACCTCATCGGGCTCCCCCTTCACACGTATGCCAGCAACCATCTGGTTCTTCACTAGCTGCTGCAAGATGGGTAGGGCCACATGCCCCATGCGCCGATGCAAAGTCAACCAATCACACTCCCCCGTAGCCGAAGTTGGATTGGAGAATGCCGCGCTCGCAATAGCGCCCCACATGCTCTCTCCGTAGTCCTCCTTCGCTGCTGCCTCGGGGTTCTCCTCACCCTTGTGCTGCTCCTTGGCTGCTGCACCACTCTCCTTATGGTCACACAGCTTGCTGGTCACTCCAGGTTTGCTCTGCTTGTGCTCTTTCTCCTTAGCGCGACCGTTCGCGCCATCGCCGCTACCAACCGCTTCAACATTGGTGCTGACGCTTGCTGCCACTTGCCTCTCCTTAGGCATGGGGACCACAGGGATCTGCCACATCTCGTTGTAGACATCCCTATCCCAATCCTTGCGGTGTAGGTCTTGGCTCCCAAAGCACGTTCTTGAGGCCCACCATCTTCCCATCAGCACCCTTGAACATGGCCTTGCCCATGCCTTTCACCTCCGCTCGCTGCCCCAAAGCCGATGTGACATGCTTCACCGGTGACGGCTCGAGTTCAGTGAGTAAGTCGGGGCGAGGTGTCATACTATAGGTAGCGCCGCTGTCGAACACCCAATAGCCCAGGGGGTGTAGGGTCACCTTCCCCACAGCTGCTGGCTCCTCAAAGCCTTCATCCTTCTCTGGACCAGCTGGTACTTGCGTCGACACAAAGTAGAATAGACCCGGGTACCGATCGCCGCTCGGGTCCTTGTCGTTATCTTCGTTCTTCATGTTCGCGGCTCTGCCTCCGCGACCGCCACAGCCTCCACGGCATCTACCTCTCCCTCCTCCTGCTCCTCTACCCTCTTGGCCTTGAGCAGGGGTCCATCCTTCAGGGAGCTTGTAGCAATCGCGCCACATGTGTCCGGTCTTGTGGCAATAATGACATTCGCCATCGAATCGTCCGCGACCGCGACCATAGCTTTTGTCGTCGCTGCCGTATCCGCCACTCCCGCGGCCTCCACCGAAGTTGCTGCCACCAAATCTTCCTCCCCCTCGTCCTCTGCCTCTTCCTCGGCCATATCCACGGCCGACGCTCGCTGCCCCAGCGCCATCCGCACTCGCCAACTCACGGCGGCGGAAGTCCTCTTGTAGGATCGCGCGCTTCACGTCTTCAAGCGAGAGACGGGGCAGATCACGGTTCAAGTTGATGATGAGTAGGGCCAGCAATTTAGTCTTCTTTTGGAGCTCACTGTAGTTCAAATCAGCTCCCTCTAGCCGCTTCAGCAAGTCAAAGAATTTCTGCACCGCGTCTTCCACGGGTTTATCTTCCTCAATTCGTAGCGTCGCCATTTGCCGTTCCAACACCACAGCTACCGCCGCTGTTGCAGGAGCGTGTACACCCTTGAGAGCAGCCCATGCCTTTGGTCCCTTCTCTGGTTCACGCTGGAAAGGCTTGATGTGACGGATCTGGTTGCTCCCCAACGCTTGCCCAAGTAAGAGGTAGCCTTGTGCGCTCATCCGCACCCACGGGCTCTTCTCCGTTTCCTTCTCGGGACGCTTCTCCGTTCCTTCCATCACCTCCAGCAGGTCATAATGGTCGAACACATTCTCCATTCTGAAGGACCACTCAGCAAAGTTGTCACCATTGAACTTGTCGAGCCCGAACACTCTTGGTTCGTCCTTAGAAGGTCCAAGAGTCGGTTGCACGGACGCCATGGCTGAATCACGGGCTTGGCCTTGTGCTTGGGCTTCTCCATTGCCTCCAGCACCTCTGCCACCCCTCTCTTCAGGTCCAGCCATCGTCGTAGCTGCTCCAAGGTGCTCTGATACCACTTGTTATAGTCACAGTAGGCTTCAATGTGCCTAAAACGAAAGATAGAGTGCGCAGTCAGATTTCTGCACAGCGGTTTTAAACGATCATAGCGATCTGGTCACAGCTCCAAATGCTCTCATTCAACTTGGATCTGGAGCGTCTTAACGTGGCCTACAATAGGCAATTTAGATCGCACGATTTCATCAAGAATTGACGACACAACGTCAGATTGAACGAACGGCACTATGGCAGCAACATAATCCTAGAAGACACAATTACGAACAACTAGGAAGAGTTGCGAGTTGGGAAGGACTCCCAGCTCCTACAAACCCCAAGAGCCGAGGTACAGTGATGGGGAACAAAGCCACACTGTCCCCAACCAAGAAGGGTCTCGAAACTACCTTTCACAAAGGCCTACACCATCTGAAATGTTACACTACACATTGTAATGTAACTATCTTCAATATCTTGAGGTGTAGCCTTTTTGGCGAGCTTCGAAAACACTTGAAGCTTGAAACCAAGGCTCGGGTTCTTCATCACAAACTCAACCTTGAGTTCTTGATGGGTCTGCTGCACACACATGCGACACGCCGAACGTTCGACAAGCGACAAAATAGAAACCGCGCACGGGACACACGACAAAATAGAAACCGCGCGCGAGACACAAATGACCGCATTGACACGCGGCTAGCGATAACTCGCTATTGACTTGACACACACACACTCGACATCATGACCCATCATACACACACCATTATAAGCATGAAAAATATAATTATTTCATGCACTCATACCACTCCATGCACACACGCATGCACGCACACGCACACGGACAACAAGCCGAGTGCAAACCGTAGGGTTGCACCAACATGTTCTTCACAACGACGACCTGCCTTAGTGCAGTCACCCAAAACGGATCCGGCAGCCCTGCACGCCCAAGTAGAGTGCGAGCACCTTCCTGCAGGGTCCGGTTGAACCGCTCAGCCACACCGTTCTGCTGCGGGTTGTAGGGCACTGTAAGTTGATGCTGAATCCCCTTCTTCTTCTTCACCACTGCCTCAAAATCAGTGCCAATGAACTCTCCCCCATTGTCCGTGCGGATCACCTTCACCTTGTGTCCGCTCTCCCTTTGAGCTCTCGGCATCCACTCCTTAAGAACAGCCGCTGCCACCTCCCCCTTAGTCTTGAGAGGGTAGACCCACACTGCACGCGTGTGGTCGTCCACGATGGTCAAGAAGTAGCGGCTGCCCGAGAGCGAAGTGGCCCTCGTGGGGCCCACCACGTCCATGTGCACAAGCGCAAGTGAAGTCTTGGCTGGTCCCGTGCTGCTGCTGAAGGGGAACTTTGTTAACTTCGTTTCAAGACATGCGGGGCAACTCCCAATCTCCTTTGCTGCCCCCTTCACCTCCAGTCCCTTCAAGCTCCCATCCTTCACCAACTTCTGCAGCATCGGAATGTTGATGTGGCACAACCTATCGTACCACGTCTCCCAATCGGCCTCACCACTCCCAGATGAAGCCTTTGCCCATGCAGCTGTCGCATCCACACCAGCAAGCACCTCACCATGTGATTGCTTTGGCTGCTGCACCTTCTTGACTGCATCCAGGGCCCCAGCAGTTGGTGCAGTCTCCTCTCCTCCTGCAGTTGCTTTAGCCGCTGCCGCTGCCTTTGCCGTTGCTGGTGGTTTCCCATTCCAAGGGATGATGGGCAGCTGCCACAGGTCCTTGATGCATTTGCTCTTCTCGTCCAAATCCCACAGCAGCAACTTCCCAAGCTTTGCACGGCAGCTCGTTGGGCCAAACGTAACTTTTGCCTTGCTTTTCTGCAGCCGGCGCACAGAGAGAAGGTTAGCGGACAAACCTTTAACCAGAAAGACATTCCCAAGCCCCACAAGCCCCCCATTAGCTCCCATCACCTTGGCATTCCCAACACCAATCACAGGGAGCAAAGCACCTGAAGCGGCAGCCACAAACTTGATCTTCCCAGGGGGTTTCACCTCATCAAGTAAATCTGCCCGCGGAGTCATGTGACTCGTGCAACCTGAGTCTATCACCCAGTGAGTGAGGGGGTGCATCACAACCTTCCCAACCGAACCCACATCATCCTCACTCACTTTCACATCCTCAACCATGAGGAACAACCCAGGGTCGGCTTTACCTTGTGCACCATCACCTTGTGCACCTGAACCTTGCACAGCACCACCTCGTGCGCGTTCACCACTTGGCGGCTTCATGCCTGGAGGTGCCCAACCCTTAGGCCGGCTGAAACACTTGAACCACGGGTGTCCAGCCTTCTTGCAGTACCAGCAAGAACCCTCCATTCGGGTGCTCCTCCTGCCACCAGAGCTCCCATGCCCCTCGTTGTAGTCACCTCGGCCTCTCCCTCTGCCAAAGCCTCTCCCGCGGCCTCGGCCTCTCCCTCCCCCTCTTCCTCGGCTGCCTCCTGCAGCTCCATACCCCTCAGCAGTCTTGTTGGCAGCACCACCTCCCGTGTGGCGCCTGCGGAAGTCCTCCTGCAGGATCTGCTGCCGTAGCCACTCAGGCGTCCACTTGTCCTGCTGAACGTTGAGGGTGGGGATGAGATTGT